GTGTTTGTGTGTCACTCTGAAGAGAAAGGTAAGAGTTGGGCAAACTCTACTGTCCCAACAGAAAACACTCTGCTTTATTGAGGTAATTAAATGGATGCTAAATTAAAACTAATGTCTTAAAGCCTAGTAGGAACTAAGTAGTGAAGATTCACGATTAGAAGGAATCTCGGTGTCTATTATTGCACCGTGCTGTTCTTTCTGTTGTTCCTGTCACACTATTTCCCTGCTGCTAAAAGATAGCGTTAAATAGCAATATGCACTGTCCATCCCAGATCTCTTTAAATATCCTGTTCAGTACTTGATGAAAAGCTTACAAATACCACTCAATTCATTGTCAGTTCTTTTTAATACTATAAAACCAGGAAGCTTTTGAAAGGCTATTATTATGATAGACATTATACACGTAACCAAGGCTTGAATTAGGACCAAGGCTGGCAATTCAATACAATAGTTTCTCATGTTAAAATAAAGTATAGATATAGATATTGTAGAGAGGAATGAAGTGAACAGAAGAAATTTATCAAAGAATATACAATCAAATATTTCCTATCAATAGTCTGTTAAAATGGGAGCAGATACCATAACATAGAAACCATTTTTGAATGTATTACACAAGTAGTTAATCCTGATAGAGTTACTTTTTTTTTTTTTTAAGTACCGATGTCTAGAGGTCATGACTTCCTTTGTCTTCAAATTTTAAGCAAAGAATAAAGGGATCTGTGAACCAGTGGTTGGCAGACCCTGTTAACAAGGAAATAACGTTTCCACTGTAAATCTCGTTCACAGGTTGTGACTGTTTTTTTGTCCCAATTCACATTTAGTAAAGAAAGCATTGGCCTGACACTATGCTAAGAACCTTTTAACCACCCACACATAATTGAGATGTTTAATTAAAGGATGCACTTACATGCAAACCCAACACTTTTCAGAAATGCTTCAGCTGGGCTAGATTGTAAAAAAGATGGTGTGTTTATGTCAAATAAAATTTGGGGTGTATTTTCATAAATCCTGCAATAACTCTTTGGACTCAGTTGAAGGGAGGCATGATCTTTGCATTGTCTCCTAACAGTGTTTTTGACCCCTTCAGTAAGATACACTTATAGTTTTAATATAAAATATTTTATAAATGTGTTTATATTAAAATTATATATATATATATATATAAAAGCCTAAGTCATCATCTACCTATTCTAGGATAAAACCCTAAATATTTTTTACATTTAGCATTTTGACTCATTTCAGAATTTTTCCTCTCATTTCACAATATATAATCTTTTTATCTCCAAATAACTAGTTCTTCTTGGTGCACAAAGCAACACACATTCTTGTGCTTAATTCATCTAATAAGAAAATAAATAAGGGTTATCTCAAGTAAATGGAAATCCTTGCTTGGTACATCACAATGAGGAAGTTTAGATCTGTCAGTATAGTAAATACCAAGAAAGAAAAAAGAGAAATGCCCCGGCCAAAGTTGACTTTGTTTCCTTCCTTCATCCTTGAAGATTTTAGTTGATACAATACAGTATTCACTCGGATACCCATTCAAAACCAGCTATTCCTTCTGATTTGATTTGGTAGCTGCATGATGTATTATGTTTTCTTAGGCCCATCAAGTGTCCCCTGACATTTATTAGCCTTCTCACTGGAAAATATCTGAGGTAAGTTCTCCCTCCCCACCTCTGCCATACATCTAAATTGTGGTTCCTCATTAGAATACTGGCGTGAATCAAATTCTGTATCTAGTGGAAACTATTCTCTTAAGCTTAACACTGAACTTGCTAAAGTATATATATATATATATATATATATGTGTGTGTGTGTGTGTGTGTATTTCAGAAAGTTATCCATAGATTTAGAGATCTACTGCTGATATTTGCCTGTTTAAATATTGATAAATTAACAATCTCCAAGTTTGTGATGTACTCAGTTAATTTCTATTCATTTTTGTCAGTGAATTCCAAAAATAGCTTGTGGGTGTGAAGAAATGCACTGGACAGTGACTAAAGTGATAAAAGAGGAGTTACTTAAAAATGGAAAAGTTCTGTATTTTGAAAATTATTAATTTCTAAATAAGGCAGGTGGAGCAGTCCACATATATAACTGACATTTGTTGTAGGAAAAGCTAATTTTCTATTTTTTAAAACAATTTAGATAGTTAGTAACCCCAGATGTTTACTCTGGCTGACTGTGTGTGTGTATGGATTTAGAGATGATAGTATTGGCTTATTGCAACGTTAGAAATGCCTCAGAAGTGCACCTGTGCTTTCCTGCATATGTAATTAGTTTTAATTTGTGCTTTTTATACGTATCTTATGAAAGTAGAGTGTTCAATTAGTTGTGGGTCAGTTGGCTTATCTTTATACATATCTTTACGTCTGTATATCATCACCTTTAGGTGGCAGTTTCCTAGAGCATAGATCAGAATCTGCTGAAAATTTGCAAAACAGCACATACATGTGAGCACTGAATACATATTATTTTAGAATTGCAATGATGTGATGGTTATTTTTATATCATAAACTTCTAATTGTAAGGGAAATACTCACCAACTATTAGCATTTTAAGAGTAAAAAAGTAACCATAACCATAAAAAACTAACCATAGTGAAAGCTAACAAATTCTAAAGAATTCTAAAGAATGTGAGGTAGAAAACTTGCTTAGTTAACTTATACCCCAGATCAGCCAGTAGCAGTAAGTTATAGAGTCATACAATACACATAGGCTGAAATCTGACTATAAACTTGTGGTGTATTGTAGCATGCCTCCATCATAAAGCTTTTCTTATAAAGTGTGTTTGTTATTAGCTACATATTAAGAACTTTTACGTGTCAATATAGAGATAAAATAAGTGACCACCCTTCATATGCTGAAAAGTGACAAACTGCTATCACTTGGTAAACTTTATAAAAGGTATGTACACATATATGTAATACATATACATATATATACATTACATATATATATATATGCATTGCCAGCCTTATAAAAGTTTAACGTGTCTGTCTATCTTTCTTGGTCTGTTCATTTCAGTATGGTTCATTGTTACTTGAAGATAGTATGAGATAAATGATTGTGGGGAGAAAAGACATGTTTGTAGGTAAATATTTTCCCCCCTAAACGGCTTGTTCTAACCATTCTATTTATTTATCAAAGAACAACCAATTAAGTAAACTATTAATTTCTTAAACAACCAAATACTTGGGCAACATTTTGTTCCAGTTAATTTACAGCATACATTTCAGAATGCTTTGTTATGATAAATTCAAATCTATAGATATACCAATAAGATTTAAAAAATCTGGCAATGTTTTTGAACATCACTGAATTTCTCTCTCTTATAATGTGATTCTTTTTCCAGAGGTTACAAAATTAGATCTAATTAATCTGTATTTCAAGATTCAACATGGGATAGAAAAGATATAACTATTTCTCCGTGTTAAATATGAAGGTTTTTTTAGAGAAATTAATCCACCCTGTATTTCTTTTTTTTTTTTTTTTCCCTCTTTCTTTTTTTTCTATTATTCACATCTCCTATCTTTATAACACAGAGTGCTAGGCTGGAAAAGTTTGAACTGCATAAAGAAATCACTATTAAAATGAATTGTGAACCATATCTATTAATCTTTTTCTGTTTTCCAAAACACATGTTGTCCCGTGAATTTGTTCTAAAGCAATATTTATATAAATACTTGCTTATATTTACAGTGGAAGTGAATTGTTTTTTCTAGGAAAGAAAGTGATTGCATTTTCAAAGGTTGCAAACTTGACAAGCTGTTTGATTACATGCTGGTTAGTACAAGCAATGCCTTCAAACAGTGCAGCTGCCGCCGAACTGAGCATGTATCTCTGGTTTTTTCACAAGGTTTTCCTCTTTGACTTTCTTGCCATTCTCTTCTTATCTCTCCACATCTTTTCCTTCTTTCCTAGGACTTTCTTTTTCTTTATTTCCCTTGCTTCCTTCTTTCTGCTTTGTATCTTTCTCCCCCTCCTTATTTTTCCTTTTTCATTCTCAGAATCTTGAGTAAAAATGAAATGATGGGAAAGAACTCTTAAGCAAAATACTTTTTTTTTTCAGTGTAATGAATAACCTTTCAATAATTTTTAGGTTTCTGGACTTTCTGGTATAAGTTAAGTCAGCTTGGAAAAAAAATGTATGAAGAAGAAGCTAGAATGCTAGCCTTATGATTCCTTCTTTCAGAGGACCTATCTATGTAGCTAGCTGTTTTTTCTGGAGATACACACACGCATACACACACACACACTATATGAGTTACTACATGTACTGTATGTATTATTGTATGTATTTTCTGATACTATATATATAGTTTTGAAGATAGCAATTGTGTCTTATGACTAAGTATATTCTATGCATATACTTTTTTTCTAGTTTAGATAACAGATATGTATAAGTGTATTATTTCCAATTTTCTCATTTTCATTATTTATTTTAATTATACATTTTTAAAGCATTTCAAAAGGCTTTTCACTTACAGCATTACAACACTGATAAGATTATCAGTTATGAAGTATGGAGAACACTGCTGTGTGATTATTTATATTTAACTATACTAGCCAGGGAGCCCTGGTGGCACAGTGGTTAAAGGGCTCAGCTGCTAACCAAAAGGTTGGCAGTTCAAATCCACCAGCTGCTCCTTGGAAACTGTATGGGGCAGTTCTACTCTGTCCTACAGGGTCACTATTGAGTTGGAATCGACTCGATGGCAATGGGTTTGGTTTTTTTGTGGGTATACTGGCCGGAGCTCAGACATCTTAGCACAATATATAAGAGGTGTGGAACATTCTGAGTCTGATGAAATCTGATGCCTCTGGAAAGCTAGTATCTAAGTACTGTGGTACTTTAATATTGTTATTAGTCATTATATAAAAATTATTGGCCATCATTGCCAAAGAATGAATCAAAGATGATATATAGGTGCAAAGTAGGTTAACAGACAGGCATTTGGTAATGACCACCCTATCTCTTTCTCTCTCCGGGCAAGGTGCCAGTGTCAGTGGCCATGATGACGCCCCAGGTGATCACCCCTCAGCAGATGCAGCAGATCCTTCAGCAGCAAGTCCTGTCTCCTCAGCAGCTCCAAGCCCTTCTCCAGCAGCAGCAGGCAGTCATGCTGCAACAGGTAATGTGGCTTACCTGCTTTGGTGCACTAGCCTGGCTCAGAAGGTGTGCACCCATGTTGACAGTACCATGGGTGTAGTTAACAATTCATTCTCCATTTGAAAGGGACAACCTAGCAACATGCTATAACACAAATGCATCATTTTAATTGCAGAACTGCATAAGAAAATTTAGTTCCCTTAGTCTTTTTAAATCTATTAAAGTCTAGAGTAAGAGTAGAGAGAGGTACAGTTTGGACATGGAATAAATCGGTATTTAAATATTCAAATGCTGAGGTACATTTCGTTTGTAGACTTACCAATGAAAGTGCAAAGAGACAGATAGTTGTTGCTCGTAAAACTTCTAACATTTAGCACTCCTGTTAGTTCACATACGCATGAAATTTGTATTGGCTACTTTGTGACACTAGAGAAGGTAACATCTTGAGTTTTCTTTTCCAAAATATACTCAGCCTTTAAGAAGAGAAAAATCTATTTATTAGAACAAAGTTAGGCAGCTAAACCACAGGTTCATGAAATATATCTCTTTTTTAAAAACATAAATAATACATTATTAGATATTATTAGAGCCTGGAGTATAATTTAAAATGGGCTTTTTGTTAAATACTTATAAGAGAGAAAATAATATGTCTTACCCAAATTCTTCTGTAATTTAATTACTTTGCTGTCTTCTATCATGATTACTACAGACCCGTTGCCTGTATTTCTAAGCCTGATATTCTTCTCTACATTTCCTGGATTAAAATTTTTTTCCAATAAGAGAATTGAGCAATTTGATTTTATGTAGCCAAATGTTGGCTTATGCCAGTGGTGGAGTATAATCTATTTTTGCGAGCTATCAGAACTTCAAGTGTAATAACTTAAGACATTCATTTGGCGCTGGCACTTTAGAATACAGAGTTTCTGTGCCCTTTTGTTGAGGATATTTTGGATTCTGGATTGGAGCATTTGAGAGCTGCCTTGGGGAAAAAAATGTATGTAGATCTGTCTCTTTGATCCAGTGCATATTTTTTGTTGTTTTTGTGAGGTGAATCTTAATGGATACTCTACCATATGCCAGTCTAGAAGAGTTTAGGAGATTTATAATACATGAAACTTTTGCCTTTATTTATTAAAGTCAAAATGGTTTATTCAGCAACAACTACAAGAGTTTTACAAGAAACAGCAAGAGCAGTTACATCTTCAGCTTTTGCAGCAGCAGCAACAGCAGCAGCAGCAACAGCAGCAGCAGCAGCAGCAGCAGCAACAGCAGCAGCAGCAACAACAGCAGCAACAACAGCAACAACAGCAGCAGCAACAGCAGCAGCAGCAACAACAGCAGCAACAACAGCAACAACAGCAGCAACAGCAGCATCCTGGAAAGCAAGCAAAGGAGGTAGGGTCTGGTCATCTCATTGATATATAATAGCTAGAGGTTGAGAAGGGGCAAGGAGAGGCAGGAATAGCCTTAGATCTTCCTATAACAAGGCTCTTGCTGTCAAAGATGCATCATTATGTATTTTTACGGAGCTTAATAACAGTGACAGTAGAACTCTCATGCTCTCCTTTTTTGTAGCGTGGACTTGAGAGTTACAATCCAATGCTTCTGTCGTCTAATGTTCACTAATGAACCGCAGTGTACAAAGAGCAAGCTGTGTGGTGGACAAAGTACTGATGATCTCGGATTCACCGAGAATCTAAGTTAGCGAGGGAACCTTATTTTTCTCAGTGGTGCAGCTCAGAGTACATGCATGCAAATTGAGCCTATTGTTGGGGGTGGAGGGGGAACCAGGGGAGAAACTGGTTGAGCACAGATTTCAAAGTCACAGGCTCCTGATTAATGAACTGCTACTGTAGGTTTGGAGTGGCGAGTAGAAAGTTACAGTTTGATATGCTCATAAATCAAACTGACAAGCTGGCTTCTCAGGCTTAGCTTGCACTTGTCAGCAAACTGCATCAAATATAAACATAATACAAACAAAACATGTTGAAGTAGTTAAATTGATCAGCAGGTATCAGAGCTGTTGTCTTCAAGCTGCCCATTATGCAAACGTACAGGAAACAGTTTTGACCTCCTGAGGCTTTGTTTCTGTTTGGATTTGTGAATAGAATTGCAGACAGCCATCAACTACAGAATAGAAATTGCTCCCTTATTTCTCCGGAGGCTTTGGGCAATCCACATGACTTGCTCCATTATGCAGTCTGTTTTCCAGTGAGCGCATCAGAAGTTTCTCTTTTCCCCAAACTAAAAAGGAAAGGTCTTCCACAGCAGCTTGTCTTCCTCTCATGTGTGACTGCCTTCTCATACCCTCCCGAGTCCAAAGAACCCTGGTTTGTCTTGTAATGCTTCACAAAATTGGAAGTTATACTTTCCCTTATAATAAGGGCACTTTTTTTTGCCTTGAATGTAATTCTAGCTTTAATATATTCCAACAAGAGAGGAGAGGGAGAGAGAGAGCTAACAGGTCTGTCCTATGAAGGCTACATCCCAGTTTACTAATAGATCACTAGAGACCACAGTCATGCAACTCTGCAGATCAAACTTATTCAAATGGAAAAAAAGAAGAAGAGTGCTGTTGAAGTTGACTTGTTTCTGTACAGTGGTGTTCTTTTAGTCTAGATAAATTTATTATCATCTGTAATAGGCTGATTAAAAAAGATCTGAACCTTTTTACATACCTTCTCTAGACCTCGTCCCGTACTCCTTTAATGCAAGTTCCTTGGTCCTTTGCTGCTGTTTAATATTTGAAAGAAAGGCAACCGAAAATCTAGAACATGCTCACATTCTACCCTAAACTTTGACTGTGGGATGGCCATCCAGACATCACCAGGGCAACAAGAGGGGTGTACATTTTTCTCTGTATGAGAGCTGTTTCTGCAGACCATGTTCTCTGCTGCTTACTGGGTTGGGTTTTCTGACCCCACCACCAGCAGCAGCAGCAGCAGTTGGCAGCCCAGCAGCTTGTCTTCCAGCAGCAGCTTCTCCAGATGCAACAACTCCAGCAGCAGCAGCATCTGCTCAGCCTTCAGCGTCAGGGACTCATCTCCATTCCACCTGGCCAGGCGGCACTTCCTGTCCAGTCGCTGCCTCAAGGTACATACAAAATGTTTTGCACACTTCATTTCTAATCTTGCACTTTCTACCATTTCATGGCCCATCTACCTTATACTTGGAGAAATTTTGTTTTTTATGATCTTCTATTATTACAACATGATTGTTAACATGGTTGCATGACCCATTTTCTTGAGGCTCAGATATTTTACCACACACTGCTTTCAAATGTGTAGTAAAACTGCTTTCAAGTGTTTTGTTAGATATTAAGTGTGTATTTGTTAGTCTTAAGGGCAGGAAATAATTATAAGGGCAACACAATTCAACCACTGTTGAATATACACTGAGGATGTGCAGGGTATTAGATTAGGGGGAAGGCTAACAGTAGTCCACTTGACATAAGTGAGCTGATACGAGTTTTGGTGGACAACTCATAAGAAAAAGAAGTTCCTATTCCTTACAGTGAAATTCCTATATATGAAAGAAAGGCTTTATGTATTTTTATAGAGCACATTCCAAGTTATGCTTTGTGGAGCTCCATCCTACGTCATGTGACCATATTAATCCTGTTTTCTCTAAAGTAGTATTGCCTGTGCTTGTACTGTGAATTATAGTTTAAAGAAGATTTCTTCTGTATTTTTCTTTTTTTCATGAGAAAAATCTTTGGATTTCCTGTGATAATACAGTTGTATATGAGCATCATTTAACTCTTAACTTTAGGGAAATGGAAAGAGTTCTAAGTAAAAAAAGAAAATGGGAAACAAAATGACTCTGTATACTAAAATTGATTCAGGTAAAAGTCATATGCCATTAAACTTCATGAAAGGTTATTCTGATTTGGATTTGGATTTTGTTGGAATAAACTTTAATCCAAATGAACTTTTACTCTTGTTAATTATATTTGTCACAGAAGAGTTCACATTGTAGTAATATTTGCTGCACATTTTCTTGACTACACACAGAATAAAATAATAAAACAATTAAACATACAAAAATTTAAAATGAGCAAATAAAAGATAGTCTTTACAATACACATAATTATTGTTTTGTGGCATATGAAATTAAAAATATTGTTGTAAATGTTCTTCGCTTTATTTAGCAAATTACTCTCTCCCTGGCTTATTTTTCCAAGCATTTGCTCTTTCACTTGGCATCAGATCCTTTAATTTACCTGATTGAAGTACTATTAGGAAATCAAGAAAGGTAAAGTTTACACAGTGAAAGGAAAACAAGGTAGTAAACCCACTTCTCTAAGTTATTCCAAAGAGAATTGGAATAACACCATAGTGTTGCCATAGCAATGAATGCTGTATTCACCAGTTATTGTTCTTTTGAAAAATAAATGCAATTTGAGCACAAGTGAAGAAATAAGGTAAAAAATAGAAAACAGTTTATAAGTTAATCAATTTAAATATAGATTCCTTAGTAGAACTTCATTAGAACAGAAGCAAGAAGTTTATGTCATCCTTTTTTTTTAAGTAAAATTCTCAATAAAATCTGAGTTGTTGTTGTTGTTGTTGTTGGGTGCCCTCAAGTTGATTCCGACTCATAGTGACTCTATAGGACAGAGTAGAACTCCCCAGTAGAGTTTCCTAGACTGTGATCTTTACAGAAGTAGATCACCAGATCTTTCTCCGAATAAAATCTGTATTAGGCTCTAATTATGAGAGTCTCCTTAGTAGAAGAGCATGATCTACCATGATCATATTTGGTAAAGCCATTAAAACAAAAATTTTAAGAAAGTTTAAAATAGGTGTTCATAGAAACAAAATTTAACTTATTTTAAATATCTGACCCATGTTCTTGGAAGAACTACATTCTTCCGAAGCAAACATATAGGTGTCTCACTGAACAAGGAAATTTATTATGACATAACGTTTTAATAGTTTTCAAATTAAATTTTTCTCTTATTTTGGAGCTTTCTTTAGATACAATTATCCCCCCCCTCCACCTCATTCTCCTATTTCCACTCTTCAGAAGATCTATGAGAGATAAAGCACACTAGGTGGAGAACCTTGTGGAGAAGGAAGTAAATCTAAAAACATATCTACGTTTATGAGGAAACGTTCTTATTTGAAGCAAAAAAATAAAATCACTAAAACATATTTCCATTAATAAAGGTGAAAAAATTCATTTGAATAAATGTGGGATTAAAATGTACCTGGTCTACTGACTAAAGTTCTTGTTGGTGCCACATGAGTCAAGATATTCCTTAATATAAGAGCATGATCTACCATGATCATATTTGGTAAAGCCATTCAAACAAACATTTTAAGAAAATTTAAAATGGGTCTTCATAGAAACCTATTTATGATATAGGTTTGCCCCACATAAGTCGGAGTCATTATTATAGTTTTCGTTGTTTAGGTAAGTGTGAAAAGTGCTGTTGTGGAAACCCATCAGCCAAAAATCAATAGCGAGTGTCAGAAACACCAGGTACAGTAAAGGAATATAACTTCATACTACTGTGCTGTTGTTGTTGTTAAGTGCCATCGAGTCGATTTTCAACTCATAGCGACCTCATGTGACAGAGTAGAACTGCCAGATTCCAAAATTAGAGTGGGCTATGTTTTTGACATCAGATAGTCAGTGTATATCCCAACAGCAATAAGTTCATAGTCTCACTGTGAATATATGCTCTGTCATATATATGATAACGTTTTTATTTTATTCCCAAAATTTTATGTTTTTGAATATATAAGTCATTTAAAATATGATAATCTTTCCATTACCAATCTGAAAGCCCAAACAGGGAATGCTAGCTATCCAGCTCTATTGTGAACTAACACCTTGGAGAACTAGATGAGCCTGGAATTAGAGAATTGTTGAATAATAAAGAAAATAAAAGCTTCTAAAACAAAGTATAGTAATGCCCTGTATGTTGAGTTAGGAATGTGCTGAAATTTGTGTTTGGCCTCAGTGTTCAGGCCAAAACAGCTATTTGGCTTTCATTTCTTTCTCTGCTTTATGGAAGTACAAACAGCCAAATGCCTACCTCAGCACCACTTCTGAAATCCTTGATCTTTAGCCTAATTAGTGATCATGCTTACATTGATTAATATTGCATCTAATCAGGGTAACAGCATCAGCAATATAAACAATACACATTATGCAGATTATTGTTACATCTGAATACTCCCTTTCAAATATCCGTAAGTCTTCCAGTTTTAACTTGGAAGGAAAATCTTCTTTGGGGTTTACATGCTGAAATTCCATTAGTGAGTCGAAGTTTAAACGAGTATTTTTTAATAAATAATATAGAATAAATCTGTAAAGATGCCTATAAATGCCGTTAATCTTATGTACAAAATCTAACTTATAAATAATTAAATAAATGGACAAATATTAAGAGTGTATTGGGTTAGTTTTGGGGGAAAATGTAAATAGGGTAGAATAATACAGACTAAATTGCATCATAATTCCAGTTGTTGGGGAACTGTTTAGTATACTAGATAGCATAATGCCCCACATGTCTGTCAGTTTGTAAATGTATTTGAAATGTTTTTAATTTCTATATGGCAATTCTGTAATCTTGAGAGGAAGACTCAAAAGCAAAATGTTCACTTTGCCACATTAAAATTTCATGAGGAAAACTGAGAAATTATTGTTTTTGTAATAGAATTCAAAATTTTAAAATGCAGCCTATAAAATTTTTTAAAAATAAAATTGTAATAGGAACTTTTTGATATCGGATGAATTCCTTTTTTTTTTTTTTTTGGTTTGGTTTCTTTGGTCTTTGGTCTCAGCTTCAGCCAAATACCTATTTTCAGTCTCCATGATTAGGCATTTGGACAAAATGTGTATTTGGTTCAACTCTTATTAGGCATACTATTGTACCTGCAGGTTATATTAGGCCCCTAGTAAAACATAAGGAGTCCTGCTGGCACAATGGTTAAATGCTCAGCTGCTAACCTAAAGGTTGGTGGTTAGAACCCAGCCAGTGGCTCCGCAGGAGAAAGACCTGGTGATATGCTCCTGTAACGTTTACAGCCTAGAAAACCCTATGGGGCAGTTCTGCTTTATCACATGGGGTCACTATGAGTCCGAATCTACTCAACAGCACCTAACAACAACAATCAAATCTAAATCAATAATATATTAGGTTTGGCAATTTGCAAATGAATACATGGATCTCTGAAGGATACCCAAGAAACTTGACCACTGATTGCCTCTGGATAGAATTGGGGACCCAGAGGTCAGGGTAGAAGGGAAACTTACATTTTCAATGTATATACCTTTTCTGTGACTTCAGTTTTTTGCCGTGTGTATATACTAGTTTTTCCAGTGTAAAATTTAAAATGAAAAGTTCATGTTACATGGTAATATCTCAGTAATTCAAATTAAAGTATTGACTGTCAATTTGATTTAACAAAATATATAAGTGATTCAAATACTTCTACCAAAATTCACTTTTGGTGTAAGTAACCCTAGAAAATAAACCTAGTACCATTAAATAAGCTCATCAGAAATTCATATTATGTTACTTCGCATCATAATTAAAAAATTATTTATTATTTTAAAATTATTGGACATAGAAAATTAAAGAATATGAAAAGCATCTTTTATTTTTGAGTGTTAAAAAGCTGCTAATGTAACTTTTACTAATAAGTAAAACAACTGAAATTGTTAAACCTTGTGAGCCACAAGAATGTATAATCTAGATATGTGTTATTAAATGTCAATTAATTCTCAGCACAGTACTTGATACCTAGTAGTTACTCCACCAATTTTGAATGTAGAATTAAAGAATTATTATTAAATTGCTGTATCCATGGTATTGCATGCAATTTGATTAGGAATTTGTATTTTAGTCACTCGGCTCCTGTACAACATAACTTTTAATGGTTATTTGTAGTACTGGCAGTAAACAAGAAGAAACCTAAGTCATCATCCAGATCATGGAATTTTAAAATTGCATAATTGCAAAACTTTTAGGCAGGAAGCATTGTATGTAGCCTCAAAATAACTTATGAAGGGAAACTGTGTAATCTTCACTGAAGATTTTAAGTTGACTGTTGTTCTATGGTGGTCTTGTCCATAGA